ACCTGGAACCGGTGGTGACGACGCTGACCAGGCTCTCCTTCTCCAGCCTAGAGGTCGCCATGGAAAGGTTCTCCCAAACGGTCTTCTTGTACGCCTCATTTGCAGCGATGCACTCTAACACCCCGTCCTCCTCCTTGAGAGTGGAGGCCTTCTTCCCCGTGGCGGACCCACCGTACCCGGACGTGGAAGGGGAAGAAGAGCTCACCTTCTGAGTGGAGCCCCCTTTCAGTATTTTTGCCCCTTCGCCCCTTTTCCCCCGTAAGGAACGAGGAAGGTGCGCTAGAACAGAAGAAACCGTAGGCGCCCCAGGAAGAATGCGAGGACACTGGGGAACCGTCTCCTCGGAGGGACCATCATCGGCAGAGGATCCGTCGTGACTAGTCGCAAGAGCCACCCCCCCATGTCGACCAAGCTGGCCAAAAACTCCGGAGAACCTATCAGGGAACCAAGTGACGGCCGAGTAAAGACCATGTTCGGTAGAAAGGCAAGCATGAGCTACCTAGGGCGGAGATACACTACCTTGGAAGGTGTAGGCATCGCCTACCGGCGTACAGAGGGAGCTCTTAGCAAGGCTTGGACAGCAAGAACGACTGGCTCCGAAGCCCGAGCGGAATCTCAGTAAGGCGCCTCACCAACTCTGCAACATCTCTCGACCCTGTGGGATTTGCAGCAAGATTAAACGGTTAGTCAATCGAGGACAGAGCAGGAAAAATGAGGGAATCACCTACCGGGATCTCTCCACACGGTGCTCAAGGAACCTGCGGGATCCACCCGCCAAGCAAAAATTATTGGTCCATTGACGGTCTTTGCCAATATTGGTAGAAAAAATCGCCTGGCCCCCCGACATTCCGAACAAGGTTATGCCCCGAAATTCGACATCGAAGTCCATTCGACCAATAATCGGTATAGAGCGCGATGCAACTCGGAGGCGCTTTGGAAGCAAAAGCCAAATGGTCAAAGAATACCGAATCCAGAAAAGCACGAAAGTCCGCCGGATCTCCAGCGGAGGCGCCGCCTCCCAAAGTGTCGGGAGAATCCCCTCCGTAAGGATGCACAGAAGATAAAGGGGCGGGATCATTGACGCCGTAGTTGAGAAGCAGCGAATCCTTTGGAAATCGGTGGAAGAATCGGAGTGGCGGGCGCCAGATCCGGAAGAGCCGGCCCTTCTCCGTTTAGGCATCCGAGACATGGATAGGAAAAGGATAGAAGAAGAAGAAGAAACTTACCAAGAGAAAGGGAGAGAAATCCACGGGATCGAGGTAGCACGAGAAGCAACTCGTGAAAGCGAATAATCGGCGGCGTGAAAGAAAAACACTAGAAGCGCACGCGTAACCCTAGCAAAAAGAACATATTTGAGGGGATCGAGACGATCCGCGCGGCGGAAGGATAAAGAAAATAAAATCTCGTGCCATTAGGAAATATTTACGGAAATCAGAAGACCGACGTGCAAAGTCTACCCATTCTCTTAAGAAACGAACCACTCATAAAACGACGCATCAATAATAAACTGGGACCTACCCGAGCGTGCCCGTGACAGTGGGTCCCGGATCCTAAAAATTCTGGATCCCGGTCGCAGAATTCAGGAACACGCCCTCCGGGGAACTCTCTCCGGCGATAATGGTCTATCCGAGGGCGGCCTCCAGGGGTACGTCCTCCAGGGAACTCCCTCCGAGGATAACGGTCTTTCCGAGACAAGCCTCCAAGGGCACGCCCTCCGGGGAACTTCCCCGGGATAATGGTCTTTCCAAGACTGGCCTCCAGGGTTACGCCCTCGGGAGAACTCCCTCCGGGGATAACGGTCTTTCCGAGACCGGCCTCCAGGGGCACGCTCTCCAAGGATAATGGTCTTTGCAAGACAGGCCTCCAGGGGCACGCCCTCCGGGGTATTCCCTCTGGAGATAACAGTCTTTCCGATACCAGCCTGCAGGGGTACGCTCTCCGGGGAACTCCCCCGGGGATAACGGTCTTTCCGAGACCGGCCTCCAGGGGCCCGCTCTCCAGGGATAATGGTCTTTGCGAGACAGGCCTCCAGGGGCACGCCCTCCGGCGAACTCCCACCGGAGATAACAGTCTTTCCGATACCGGCCTCCAGGGGCACGCTCTCCGGGGAACTCCCCCCGGGGATAACGGTCTTTCCGAGACCGGCCTCCAAGGGCACGCCCTCCGGGGAACTCTCTCCGGGGATAACAGTTTTTCCGAGACCGGCCTCCAGAGGCACGCCCTCCGGATAACTCCCTCCGGGGATAACGGTCTTTCTGAGATCGGCCTCTAGGAGCACGCCCTCCGGGGTACTTCCTGCGGGGATAACAGTCTTTCCAAGACCGGCCTGCATAGGCACGCCCTCCGGGGATAACGGTCTTTCCGAGACCGCCCCCAGTGGCACGCCCTCTGGGGAACTCCCTCGGAGATAACGGTCTTTCGAAGACCGGCCTCCAGGGACACCCTCCGGGGAGCGCTGCCAGGGAACGGCCTTTTCAAAGTCAACCTCGAGGAAATCAACGTCAATACGACACGGCCCAGCCCGTAGCTGGGAGACAAGCGGAGTAGGAGCATAATGACCATCTGTATTTCAGTTTGCATGCAGGGCAGACTTCCGAACCTCCCAAACGAGCTTTGTAAGTTGGGGGCAACTGTTGAGCCACAAAATACATGCACGGCCCACGAGGACCCAACGCGTGGGGACATCTTGGTAACCCGATGCGCATTAAATGCACCGCACCTACCAAAGAGGTCTGCAATTATGGCAGCTAGGAGAAGGCGGGGCAGGTCAACAACCCATTCCCTCTGCCTACACGCATGGAGGAGTTTGGGAATGGTGATAATGATTAAAAAGGACGGATGTTAGTACCTGACCCGGGAAGTCTGAGGTCCGAACCCAGGAGCGATCCGGAACCAGGTATTCCCTATAAAAACACACTGCTCTCAACAGCAGAGAGGGGAGAGACATCTAAAATGATAACTTCATCTTCTAGCTTCACTTACAACAGAGAACCACTACCTTAAAAGTTCTATCGGGATCCTTTTGAATCGATAGAACGCCCCTATAATCAGTCTTTCCGATATACCTAATATGCTTCGTCTAGTCTCATGTTCTTTCTGACTAGAGCGTCGGAGCGTAATCGGGAGGGCAACCCTTTCCTGTTTACCGAAGATATTTTTCTTCTCACTCGTCATTGCAGGCTAACTCATCCCCCAGAGTTCAAATCTCCCCTGCATCACACAACAACCAATCAGATCCCTCCACGTGGCATCCCGAAATTTGCTCCCGAACAATGCTAATCATGTATTAGATATTTTAAAAAACCTAAGAATTAAATTGACTATGCTCAGCCCTTTGAACTTAATAAATTCTGCATATTTCCTCTAGACTATATTTCTCCCTATTCCATCCAAACAATTTGTTTTCTCCATATTTCTACCAAAAACACAATCTAACCAAAACGCAATTGTATAAATTGATCATAATTTTTATTTTTTAATTAAATTTGGAGGAATAGGCAGATAAAAAATTGTTTGGGCGGGAATAAGTAGAAGTCTATACTTTGGGGGATTAGGTAGACCAGGTATATTATTGAGAAGGCTGAAGATAGTCAATCCTTTAATTTATTTAAATTACTAATCATATTTAACATTTTCTATGTAAAATGAAAAACACCTATGTATACGAAATCGGATTGAGTTTATTCGTCCTATGTGAACACTCGACCTGGCTTAACTTTTATATTTTATCAAAAACTGAGTTAATCTCTTTTAAGCTCTTTAGCTTTGTCTCTTTATTTTTCTAAGTATTTTGGTGGATTCCAATGCTTAGTAAAAGTCTAAGTCTCTGTCTGTTGTGTGGAATCACATAGACTTTGGCTTGTGTTCTAATCTCAGAGGCTTTCATACCTGAGTGGCGAACTTCATCTCATCAAGCTTGACAACTCTCGACAAGCTTGTGATCAAAGCATTGATGAATTCCAATCTTATATTAATATGTCTTTGAGAGTTTGTCCTTGTTGGTAGTTAGCCAAACTTGTCCATATCTTTGTGAGTTCCCTGTAGTAGGATTCAATCGCTGATCTTTGTTGTTGACAGTTTGCAAGCTCTGTTTTAAGTCTATGTCCCTTTGTCCGTGTTTCACAGCAACCTGTGTATGGATTTGAGTCTAGAGTTTGGAGGCATCTGTGTGCGAGAACCGAACACAGTGATTCATTAATTGTGAGTTTAATCCACGAGATGACCAATATATTGTTGGCGCACCAGTCCTTGTAATCTTCAGAATCTGTATCTGATTGTGGAAGTGTTCCATCTTGCAAATTCAAATTTCTTTCTTGCTTTTAAAGCCAATCGAATTCTGACGGACCATTCTTCTTAGTTTGGCCCACCCAGAGAGGGGCGGGTGATAATCGTTCCTGGATAATCACTAGCAGAGAGGTCATAAGGCAATATTGTTCTACGTGTTGTCTCCACACGAGTTTGAGATAGATTAGATCCGCCGCTGTCTTCCACCATTTAAGAGATGTTTTTGAGAGAGAAATCGAAGAACTTAGGTCAATAAAAGAGAGAAAGAATAGTGAAAGAATAGTTAACCAAAACCCTAAGAATTAGGTTTGAGTATTTGATACTATATCAAGAATCCTTAGTAGTGTAAAGGGATTTCTTATTGAAAACGATACGAAGGCTATGCTTTATATACAAGAGTTTCTCATGACATAGTTTAACCTAAACACAGTATTTATGGCCCAATATATCAGTGTTGTAATCTCCAGCGAAATAAGAGAGCTTTTAGTCTCCAAAGTTTATTGAGGTCGAATAGAACAAACAAAGAAAAATAAAATAAGTGGAACCTGAACTGGACACGAACCATCCATTCTTATAGAAATCTTAGAACACGAATGATCAATAAACAACTCCTATCATCCAACAAGAAGGAAGAGCCCAACTAAATTGTCTCTTTAGGTTGGAATAATTAGAGATCTTACATGATTTAATTAAGAAGAAATAATAATTCAAAATGATCAGAGAGGCACAGGGTAACGGTTGATGCAATCCACCCAAGGATTGTTCATAGCAGGCTTCTTCACCTTCCTCATTGCCTTCCAAACCACACTGTTACACTTGAAACCCGACCCAAACGCAATCTGCCAAACCCTATCACCTCTACGGACACTTTCCTTGGCCTCCAAGTAAGCTAGCTCATACCAGATTCCACTGCTAGAAGTGTTTCCAAACCTCTGTAAAGTCATCCTAGAAGCCTCCATGTTCTCTTCGCTCAAGCCTAGATTCTTCTGAAGCTCCTCAAGCACTGTTTTGCTTGCTGCGTGGAAGCAGAAGTGCTCAAAGGCTAGCTTGTAGTCCGGAATGTATGGCTTGGACAGATCAGAGGAGGACGGCTTTGCTCCGTTGGTTTTGGCGGTGGCAGAGGAGATTGTGGTTTTCGCCGCAGGTGAGAAAGTTCGACGGAGCAAAGCCACAAAGAAGAGAAGCTGCTCAGAGAAAGGGAGGACTAGTGGGCCTAAAGTAGTGATGTTGGTCTTGAGAGCTTCACCTCCAACTTCCATTAAATCTCTGCTTATTTTCAACCCCTTGAATCCTTGTTCATCTTCTTCCTGGTATACACTCCTAAAACCATACACAAATACACAATTTACAACGTTATAAAAAATCTGTAAAAACCTAGTAATGAAACTAAGGTCAAGCTGTCCCAAATTTCATGGTTATTAAAAAAAAAAGTTATTAAAAAAACAAATGAAAACCTGAAGCTACGGTCGTCCGCAGCTTTATGAGTCCGGACAATGTGCTCGAGACGGTACTTAGCGTGACGGAAGTCACGGCGGCGATTCGAGAGCATAACGGCTGAGCAACCCATCCTAAAGAAACAATTAGGTATAACCATTGACTTGTCACGTCCCACGTACCAATTATACCCAACCATCTCGGTACTCACAACCACAGCGTAACTATTCGGGTTTGACTGAAGCATGTCACGAGCAAGATCAACGGCTATGATTCCTGCAGAGCAACCCATTCCTCCAAGATTGTAGCTAAGTATGTTCCCTCTCATCTTGTAATGGTTAATCACCATTGCAGATAGTGAAGGAGTTGGGTTAAAGATGCTGCAGTTGACCACAAGGACACCTACATCTTTCGGTTTGACACGTGTCTTCTCGAAAAGCTCGTCTAGTGCTCCGAATATCACCATCGAGGCTTCTTCACGACCTTCTTTCATCGTTGTTATGTTTTCTGTCGAAGAGATGGATCTTGGGACGTACGTCTCGTCGCCTATACCTGAGGCTTGTAAGATCCTATTCTTGAATCCGAGGGTCTCTTCGTCGAACTTCCCTGATTTTCGAGCTAGGTCTATGAACTCTTCGTTTGTCACCTGAACATAAACAAATAAAATTTGGAAAAAAAAAGTTAAACCAGAGATAACCTGAACTTAATTGATTTGGTTCGGTTCATATCGGTATAACTTCATATTCATTTAATTTTTCGTCCGGTTCCTATCGATCTGCTTTGTAAAAAACAGGTTTAAGAAAGAAAAAAAAATCAGAATAAATTGTAAGCCAAACCGAGTTTCTTTTATATGATATTTTGCGGTTATCTGCTTTCTCAGATTTTACGAAATTATACGGTATTTGATTAACCTAACTAAAATTCAGAAGCTTTTACAATAATTACTGACCACACAAAAAATGCAAAAATCTGGTTTGGTTAGCTATTTTTGGCGTTTCAGACTTTCAGTCTTTCAGAGCACAGCTATATACAGTATAAACTAAATTGAATAAAGTTTGATTTGGTTCAGATTCGTTTACTATTAATTTATCAGTACTGTTTTCTAGCGCTCTCTCTTTCGATTATTGAAGGTAGGTTTTTTAAAAAAATTAAGAAATCAAATTTAAATTATAAGTCAAACCGGTTCCTTTGATTCGGTATTAATTTCAGTTAAATTTAACCAAAATCGAAATTTTTGCAAAATAATAACTGACCAATCAAATTGGGTTTGATTATGTTTGGTTCTACAAGAGTTTCAGACAAGCCCTAGCTATAACCTTTTTCTTATTTTGTTGATGAAACCCTAATTCACCGACTTTAGTTTCTAAATAAACTTAATTGAGAAAAAAACATAATTTAGTGTATTTTCTCTATGAAAAGGTTGACGTGTACGTACCTTGAGTTCATCGGAAGGCTTGTAACAAGCGAAATCAATGAGATAAACAGAGCGAGGACGAGACATGAAGTAGGCAGCCACGGTTAAGATAAATACACCGAAGAAACCGATGACAGTTGCGAGATCATAATCCCAAAGCTTCTTCCAAATCTCTTCTCTGCTTAAACTCCCAACCTCAGCACTAAACACAAGCACAAGAACCGGTATGGTCGCCAAGTAAACCGCATGGTTTATGAGGTAATGGTAACCAAGCTTCACGTACTTCAAATTCACCGATTGAAGAAAATCAGGCAAACGTCTCCGGACCCTGACCGAGAACGTCGGTGAACCGGCGTTAGGACCAGAAGGTTCAATCCCACGGTTAACGATCTCGGTAGAGAGTAGATCTTGTTCATTGGATCTACCCATTTTTTCTTCTCTTTGGAGATAAAGTTATTGTGAGTGAGATCTATAGGGTTGATGAAGTTATATTCTTATAAGGAGTTGTGTTGGCGAAAAATGTAAATGTGAGTTTGTGTAGTTACATGAGTAATGGTAATATTGTGGGGATTGGGTTTGGTGGTTGGTGAGAGGGTAGTTAATGTCGCCAACTACTTGTACTGGTCGTAGTTGGAATGAGTTATGTTACTCATAATTCCTACGTTCAAAATAAGGTGTAGTTTTGGGATCTTATGTTTGTATATATTATAATCTTGTATGTCAAAGGCTATGCTAGGTGACCACTTTTTGACAATTTGTCAATTTCGATTTCCGGATCAATTCTATTTTTCTGATTTTCTGATGGAACATTATTAAAAATAGGATTTTGACTACCGTGGAATCGTGGAAAAGGAAATAAAAATATGCATATGATGACATAAAAAAAACGAAACTTGTTTAGATGAAAACTTTGTGGCAAGACACGTTTTGTTTTAGTCAATTTTCGGGATGAACGAGTGGTTTAAAAATAAACTGTGATTGTGCATAAAAACTTGTGAATATAATTTTTTTTTCGAATCACAAATTCATTACACTATCCCTCGATTTTGTGAATTTTTATTCACTGTAGAGTTTGAAATGAATTTAGGGTTTTTTTGAAGAGTGCGTCCGTTTGTACAAGTTTTCTCCAATTGTATAAAATACTCTGTCTCAGCCAGAAGATCTATTATTGTGATTAAGAGTAAGAGATTTTTACAAAAATGACTCAAAAATTGATTTCAATTGCAAATCTAACGTGCAAAATTGACCACTTCAAATTTGCCATTTTCTCTCAAATAAATTTCTCATAGTTTCTGTTATTCACGAAATTGCTATTATTTTAAATTAATTTCTAGAATTTTTGAAAATCCAAATGACCAACTAATCCTCATCTTCCTCACTTATTTACGAATATGTCATCATCATCAATTCATCCAACCACAATTTTTAACCAATTTCGAGATTTAATCGCACCAAAAATCTATTTTTGAGTTTGTTTATCTCATTACCTTTCTCTTAAGCTTCTATTCTTCCATTTTCTCTCTATTTTATTCCCAAAAACTCTATAATTTGACTATTAGAAAGTTGAAGTTCATATATATTTCTATATTCCGGCGAGTTGGCTGTTTTTTGCGGTTGTGTTTCTTTCATGGTGGCTAGAATCAAAGATCTTGACCAGAAAAGAAGCTAAAGACGAGTGGTAAGTCGGATTTTCAGTCAATTTTAGTGTTTTTAAGTTGTGGGCTTCGAAAGTAGACTTCTCTTGGTCCGAATGAAGTCTACTAGTCAACGTCCAGGTTAGTTTTGCAATTGACCGCATGAAAAAAGTAGACTTCTTTTGGTCCGAATCAAGTCTACTCTATTTCCTTTGATAACAAAAAAATAGAGTAGACTTCTCGAGTAGACTTCTTTAGAAGCAGGTCATATTTGCAATTGACCAACCTTTGACTTTCTAAAGTAGACTTCTCGTAGGTCATTTTTGCAATTGAAAAATATTTGACTTTTTGGTCAGTTGCAAAAATGACCTGCAAGAAGTCTACTTTCGAAAGTAAGCTTCTCTGAGAAGTCTACTTTTCATAGAGAAGTCTACTTTTCTTGTTTTTAAAAAAAAAACATTTTTATACAATATATAACGAATTTTTAGGATTTTTGTGATCCTAAGTTTCTGTTATTAAGTGTTTTTGCTTATGTATAAGTTTTACATGTTTATATTTTATAGGTATAGTTGAATCAGTTTTCATGTTTTATATGATACTTAGCTTATTAAGAGTAGACTTCTCCAAGAAGTCTACTCGCAAAGTCTACTCTAGAAGTATACTAAGTAGACTTCATCTGACTTTTAGAGAAGTCTACTTTTTCAATTTTGATGTCTAATGTGGTTTGGATTTTTTTTTTTTTTTTTTCACAGAGAATGGTTCACATACCCGATGTTTATGGAGAATGGGTGAAGAGTGAATCAGTGTGGCAGTTCGAGGTGGATAATATCAAAGGAGGGCGAATGTTGTTCTTAAGAGATGGTTGCACACATGGTGAGCTTCTTGGAATGGTGCAAGAGGATTATATGCTGGAAAAAGAAACAAAGGTGGAGTTATCCTATCCCTTACCACCTCTGATGCTTCAAGAAATGCCTCCGGATTCTCCGCCTATGTATGTCACAAATGATAGACATGTTCAGAGCTTGATTGAGTTAAGTAAGATGCATGGTGTTCACATTTGTGTTTCGAGTAAGATAATAGACCATGAGAATGATGATGTGGATGGACATGCAGATAAGTGCTCTGATGCTGAAGAAGATTGGGATGAAGACGCTGAAGATTGGGATGAAAACGTTAAAAATAAGGATGAAGCTGATAGTTCGAATAAAGTTGAACAATTGATCAAAATATGAAAGATAAGCATGATGACTCAGATGTGGATTACAGTGAGTATGGGAAAATTAAAGATGAGGATGAAGTTGAGGGTGTAAGAGAGCGTTGTGGTGGTTTCGATCGACTGGATACTAGTTGAACGTCTAAAATCTTTGTTAATCAGAGTTTTCCTAGCAAGGAGAAGCTTGTATCTGAGTTGCGATTGATGGCAGTTATGAAGAAATTTGCTTTCAAAGTATATAAGTCCACGACGTCTTTGTTTGTTGCAAAATATTCTGTCATAGGATGTGTTTGGATGGTTAGAGGGGGTGTGAAGAACGAAACAAACACATTCTAGGTGACAAAGTAAATGAAGGATCACACTTGTTCTGTGTTAAACCGATCAGCTCATCGTAGACGGTGTACACCTAAGTACATTGGGGCTCTGTTTGTGGAATGAGTTAGTATAATTGATGGAATTGTGCCAAAGCATATCAGAGATTCTATGAAGGTGATGTTTGGTCTAAACCTCAGTTACACCACATCTTATAGAGCTTTGATATATGCCCAACAATTGGTGAGAGGAACAGCAGAAGATGGATATGAGAAGCTGCCTTCTTATTTGCGTCAAATTGAGAGAGCTAATCCGAGAAGTGTCACAGACCTTGTATGTGATGAGATGGATCGATTTAAGTACCTGTTTATTTCATTTGGAGCTTCCATAGCTGGTTTTCAGTACTTGAGGCGAGTGATTGTTGTAGATGGGACTCATCTAACTGGGAAGTATGGAGGTGTTTTTGCTTTGTGCATTGATTCTCTTGGTGAAGTGCATAAGAGATATGGGTTTTGTGTATTTTTGCAGAACTTGATTCATTTAGGTTTATTTGATTTGATTTGTATAATGTTGTACAGCTTTAAAATAGATGTTTTGCTTTGAAATAACATCCCATTCATATCATGGCTTTTCGTATCATCCCTTTTATTAAGAAAACTATGAGAGAAGTGATGTGGATTTTGTTTATTCAAATGGGTTTTCTTTTGCTACGATTTTATGATCTTCATTAGATGAAATGATATTTTATGTGCATATAGCTCTACTGAAGTGCGGTTCATTAGAAGAAGTGAGATTTGAAAGGTCTCTTCTTTCATTCAGAATCACTGCTTTTCTTTTCTCAAAGGTTGCAAACTTTTCATGACTGAATCTGATTTGGCTTGTTTGCGATTGTTTTGCTAGTTTGTATCATTTGTCTTTTGCACTTATTGTAATGACTCACCAATATTCTCTAACTGTGTTATAGTTTTGAAAAGGTTGGTATCGTATCATTGTGATTAGTTACATGTGTGTATCCTGAGTTTTGACCGTGCGAGCTAGTTGTTCATGGCTCCGGACTGTTCGTGCTCTTGGTAATTAGAGACCATAGTTTGATTTGTGTATTGGAGGATTACTGAATCGGCTAAGGTGGTGTTTGCCTGTTTGGACGAAAGTTTTTTTTTTTACTTAGTTGTGCCTTCTGTATTCTCTTGTCAGTACATTACTCTGGTTTCTTTCCTCAGCGTGTTTTACATGGGTCCATTTTGTCAAAATTATCTTTAACCTGTTTTGCTTTGTATACATTGTTATGCAGAACGTACGGGAATTGACAAAGACACTGAAACTTGCGGACAAAGGAAAAATGAAGCAGCCGTCAGAGATAGACAAGAGTCGAGGCTATCGATGTAAGTATTTTCTAGTTACTTAGAATTGTTCTTTGGATATGGTTAGGATGACATGTAAGTAGTATGGTTAGGATGACATGTATTGATTGTTCTTTAGAATTGGACCGATGAAGAATGTCGGTACTCTTTTCATCTCTATGCGGCTGAGAAAACGAAAGGCAACAGAACAAAATCTGGGATGAATCAAACTTGTAAATACTTTATTATGAAGAAGTTTGAAGAGAGATTTGGAAAGCGCTCGTATGGGAAATATTCAAGAATAAGTATGATTCTAGCAGAAAAGCATATGTGAGATTCAAGAGGTTAACTCACAATCGAACTGGACTTGGATATGATGCTTTGGGAAGATTGGACATGTCTGATCATTGATGGGAGGAGCGCATACAAGTATTAAAGTTTACTTTCATCTCTTTGATGTGTTGCTTTGATGAGTTGCGAATCTTTGATGTGCTGCTTTGATGAGTTGCGAATTTCTGATGTGTTGTATTTTGCTCAGTTTAGTTTTCTTCTTTACTCTTTCCTTTATAGACATTGTCAAGAACTTCTTTTTATTTTCCTTTTGATGAGAATATATATCGTTCTCTTGCTTTTTTCTGGGTGTTTGAGTACGTTCTTGCAGCTAGACCATAAGTTTAGTTTCATCTCTTTTAGTGTTTGATGCTTGATGTGTTGGGTTTTGTTTGATGCTTGTGGTTTCTTGAATATGATTTGAGTTTTGTTGCTTTGATGTGTCATGTTTTACTATTTTATTGGCTAATCCTCTTTGTTTTATTTTGTTTCAGGAATGGCCTGGTGCTCTGAAATACAGAAACAAGCCGACTCCTAATATGGATGTGTATGAAGAGGAATTTGGTGCGATTACTGTGACTGGAGCAGAAGGATGGAGTG